ATCCATCCAGTTATATTTGTTGTAACCATGGGTTTATTACTCACATAAAAGGAGAGATAAATAAATCACCCATAAATAAATAAAAAGACCAGTGAAATATCATCAATAAAGATTTTTTTCCTAAATATATATACAATTTATCTTTAACCTCTCTATATAATATATCTTTTAGATTCGGATCTTCTCCAATTAGATAGTAGTTAGACAATGTCCAGTTGCTCTAATCCTATCCATATATTCCAAATTCCAACACTTGAGATCAAACCATGTATGATTTGCTCTATCACAATACCAATTTTCGTAATAGTGGTTTTTAGAGACGATAATGGTTTTGAAGATAATATTTACAATCTTATGTGGCTTCATCTCCGTCCTTGAAATTAGAATAAACGGTAATGATTGGAATGATTGGACATTCTCCAATTACCATCAAGTTGGAGAGATCCCGACCCATGTTTCATACAACATCACTACAAATATCCTCCTCCTATTCTTTAAATCTTTTAACTCATTTGAAGCTCCCCCAGAGTTCAGGGGTTTTGTGAGATAAGTGTTTAGGGTTTACTATAGAATAAGCAAAGTTCAGACAGGTTTTATGGTAACGGCCCAAAGTTTTAAGGGGTTTTATGTGATGTACCCATTCTTTGTCCCTATAACAGTTAGAATCATATTAGATTGCTAAGATAATTAACATAAATGGTTTAACATATTCTTATAGCTAATTATGGAATTGAAAGTGTATACAGGCTGATCGATTTATATATCTAATAATTTCATATCTTATATAACATAACTCCAATGCCATAGACAAATAGATGCATAACTTGGTAGATGGATCGACGGGCATATAGTTGCAAAATGAATAAGATTTTGTTTGGTTTGACACTTGAAACCAAAGTACGAAACATATTTACTTTTATTGGTTCGCTCGTTTCTTGTGATCGATGGGAGGCCGAAATTAAATGCCTAATTTAATGTGATGGGGGGTTGGGTGACTAGAAGCGGCTGCGTAATTAATTCGTCATTCTATAAAATAACGTTTTAATGCCAGTAGCTTATGGGAGGAGATTCGACCAACGTGTCTTTATTCGTTTATTAGTGGGTGGTCGGACTCTACTTCATTAGTTACGTGGCCATAATTACATCGGTAGCCTAGGAAGTTGTTGGTGATCAAAGCGGAGCAACGTTTAGGGGCTGTTTGGTTGTTGTTGGTAAAGTTGTGTATTTATGACACAACTTGGAAAGTTATTGTCCACCTCATCAATTTTACTTTTATATTTTTCTTTGTTTGTTTTTTATTCTATTGTAATCATAAATTGCTTGTTTGGTTTGTAAATATAATTTTAATTAATTGTTTGTTTGGAAAGTGTAAAAAGTGGTCCCTACTCAAATGATCATATTGGTTAGAATTATTTTTTATTATTTTTTCCTGACTTCAATGTCAGCTTTCTCCTAAAATCATGTCTTTTTTTTATGAAATCACTTTACAAGCCACATCAGCATATAAAATCACTTTACACTATTTTCACAACTACAAACAAACAATTGAAAGTGATGAAAGCTGACATTGGGACCCACTTTTTTACACTTTCCATCCTTTTACATGGTAAAAACATACAACAAAACAGCCCCTTAGTCTCTTTTGAAAAAGGAAAAAGAGAAAAGCCCAAGAAGCTCGAAAATGAATAACAAAAGAAAAATTCCTCAAGGACCCAAAATATGGGACCAATAAAGGGGACAAGTGAGGTGTCCCCTCCTATTGGATAATGAGTTGGTCATCATTAATGATGACCAACTCATTATCCAATAGGAGGGGACAGCTCACTTGTCCACTTTATTAGTCCCATATTTTGGGTCCCCATAGCAAAGCTCATAACAAAATATGGTTGTCAGATGTATAATTGAAAACCAGAACTCTTCAGTTATATACTCCTTTGATGTAAAGTTTTTAATCCTGTTGAAAAAGACGTTTTGAGAATTGAAACAAAGCCCCAAAATAATTTACCCCTAGTAATTTCAGATATCTGGTAATCGAAGGCGCCACCCAACATAAAAATTTCTTATTAGCTTAACAATAACAAATTGTAAATATAAAAGATAAAAATTTTAAAAACTTACAAAGGTAGAAACCGTAGAATTGAGGGCCATAAACATAAAAGTAAAGATTGAATCGGCAGAGAAAGCATCAAAAGGAACGCGAAAACGAGGAGCAGGTTGAGGTGCCGCGCTGTGAAAAGGAGAAACAGAAACTTAGAAAGGTAATTTTACATTTTCAGCGGCCCACCTCTCTTTTGAGCAATAAGACAACAACCCTTCAAAAACAAAAGACAATAAAACTGAACACGACAAAAAAATCAGGACAGTCAACAACAGTATCGTCTTGTTCCCAAGCTACGTCATTGGTCTCTTCGTTTTCCACAATTACTCAAACATTCAGCGCTCCCAAGATACCCTTACAAGCAGGCATTCCTTTTTTTTTTTTAAGGATTTAATTACATATCGATGTCTTAGGGGCTGTTTGATTGTTTTCTTTTGCCCCTGATTCCCTGTCAAAACTGACAGCTTGACAGCTTTCTTGTCAAAACGTCCTTTTTTAAGGATGTTTTGACAAGAAAGCTGTCAAAACTGACAACAATCTGTCAGTTTTGGTAGGAAATCAGGGAAAAAAAAAAACCAAACAGCCTCTTAAAGGTACCGTGTAATGCTTTGGTGATCCTTTTGCCTGTCTACACGGATGAAATTACTAAATTTAAATACACAGATGATCCTTAAATCTAATTGACAAGCTAGTAAGTGATTCATAGGGTTACCCATGTAATTATGATCGGTAATCATACGTCACACTCCATATAGATACACAAATTTTATAATCATCCATGTAATTACATGATACCTTAAAATACTAGAGTGTAGTTAATTCTTTTTTTGGGACGAGCAAAATTGATGTTCAAATCCGGCAAGTACATATTATAGGATATATTTTGGGACGAGCAAATGGCATGTTCAGTTAGGGGGTGTTCGGTTGCACAATTTTATTGAAAAGTTTTCTCAAAATGTCTGACAATTACAATTCTATAATTAAAACTTTTTTGTAGATTTTCGTAAACTGTGTTTGGTTTAAAAAAATTTACAGAAATATTTTCTGTAAAGTATAAAAAATACAAAAATTTACAGAATTCGATTTCCTCTTAAAATAAGCGAAAACCACCTAGAAATCTGACACCACATTGACACTTTTTATAAATTTGACACTTTCTATAAATTTCGGGGGTGATTGGTTCAATTTCGACAAATTATAGGAAATCTTACTATTTTCTATAAAGTTATGGGTTATTTTTTTGTTTTGAACCAAACAAGCAAAGTAAAAAAAAAAAATTTGATACTTTTTGACTTCTCAAAACTTTTCCTATACTTATTTTTAAGAAATACTAGGAAATCTTATTTTGAGTGGAAAACATTTCATATAATTTGTAGAAATTGAATCAAACACCCCCTTAGTTTAAACAAAATTCTGCTAGACTAAGATGTACGAAACAATTTCTGCTTCTAAATCAAATTAAATTAAACGAATTATTTTGGTTGGACTCGATCCATTCGGGTTGGGCTAGGGATCCACTTAGTTTACAAACCAAAGAGAAGAACACAGATCAAGATATTAATAAAAGACGGACCAGACTAAGGGTCCGTTTGGATGGGGTATTTTGTCCCGAAAATTGGGAGGAAAGCTGCCAAAATGGTAGCTTTTTGGCAGCTTTCCCTCAAAATCGCCTCTTAAAGAGACGATTTTGGGGAAAAGCTGCCAAAAGGCTATCATTTTGGCAGCTTTCCTCCCAATTTTTGGGGCAAAACACCTCATCGAAACGGGCCCTAAGGGATCAGATCATGAAGAATGTAAACATAAAAAATTTAAGAAAACTAAAGAAAAAAAATTACGAGCCATCAGACAAAAAGAAAGAACGAAGGATTAGAAAACCAAGAAACTAGCCGCTTCGGTTTGAAAAAAAAAAAAGAAATTCAAGTGGAAGCAAGCTAAAAGGCTAAGGGGCTATTTGGATGCATTTAGGAAACTAGAGTATTTATGACACAAAATAGAAAGTGGTTATCCACCTCACCACTTTTCATTCGAGTGTTTACATTGTTTGGTTAGGAATCTTTGTGAATCCTAAAATAATAGTATTACATTGTTTGGATAGTATAATGTAAACTAGAGTATTTATGACACAAAATGGAAAGTGGTTATCCACCTCACCACTTTCTACAAGGTTTTGACTTTTTTATTTTTTTTGGACACATTTATGACATTGTGTCAGCTTTCCAACAAAATCACTCCTAATTTTGATGATTTTGCTTTCAGTGACACCTCATCAAAAGGTTAATCTTTTCATGTAAAATAGAATTTAAACAAACAATGTAAAATGATGAAAGCTGACATTGAGACCTTCTTTTTTACACTTTCTATTCTTTTACATGATAAGGGGCTGTTTGTTTCCTTTTTTTGAGAGGAAAAGATGGTGAAAGTCTGCCAAAAGTGCAGCTTTTGACAAGCTTTCCACCCAAATCGTCTCTAAAAGAGGCGATTTGGGTGGAAAGCCTGTCAAAAGCTATACTTTTGACAGACTTTTGACAGGCTTTCCCTATCTTTCCCTCTCAAAAAAAGGAAACAAACAGCCCCTAAAAACATACCACCAAACAGCCCCTAAAACGGTCAAAATTCAGTTGGTTCAAAAATCTTGATCTCAAATTTTAAAGATTAACCGAACGAATCCTATTCTTACATTTCGATAAGGCTTACATACCTAATCTTAAAGAGTGATGGGGATCTTATCATTTTTTTTCTAATCGATCCGTAAAGATGTTTTTTTCTGGTGCACATGATCAGCCCGTCCTATATTCAATACTCTCATCTCATCGCAATTACGAAGAAAGAATATATTAAGAAAAAGGGCATTACAGTAATCTCCGTAACTCTGGACCGTCGTACCTCGACCCCTACATGCATAAACGGCGGCATATGGGAACTGGTTCCCTCCTCTCTCTCTCTCTCTCTCCTCTAAAACTATCAACTCCTCCAGAGCTCCAACTCCAAGCTTCCGCTCTCCAATAATGGCGGCCAAACCAATCAGCTCGATCTCAATCTCAGCGGGCGACGACCCTCCTAACCCCTCATCTCTCTCCACCTATCTCGGCCTCTCCTTCGCCGTCTTCTTAGGCCTCCTCCCCAAATCCTCCATCCCCTACCTCTCCTCTCTCCAATCCCGCAACCGAATCCTCGGCCTCAAGCTCTTCCAGGCTGAGGACCAGCTGAAAACCCTGAGGTCGAGGAGGAAGGAGGACTCCAAGGCCAACGCCCGCGTCGTCGAGATCTTCGCCAGCCACCGCCACGCGTGGCAGCAGGAGGAGCGGCAATATCTCTCTAGCTCAAGTATATTATATTCACCAACATTTGTAGAGGAGCAAATGCATAAACAGATACTGCTAAATTAAAAAATTATCAAACAGAGATGCTGGATCTCGTGGCGGCGAGGAGAGAGGAAGAGGAGGAGCAAGAGGAGGCTAGGGTTAGGGTTTCGGAGGGGCTGGGGTTTGGGGAGATGGACGAGATGGCGGCGGCTTATTACGCAGGGGAGAAGGGGAGGGATTCGAAACGATGGGTGGAGAGGGCTGCCAGCGGGTGGCAGCAGGTAAAGAAATTTTTTCTCCCTTTTTTTAAAAAAGCAATTTATCAATTTTTGTTTGTTTTAGAAATTCAGGCATTCTTTATATGGATAAAGAGCTATTAGGAATTGTTGTTATCCTTTTTTTTTGGCGCAAATGTGTGGTTTTTGTTACTAGTTTAGCTTTGAATTTTTGGTTTTTTTAAAAAAAATTATTTATGTTTCTGGTAAATAAACAGGATTCTTCAATTAAAAAAAAAGGATGTGCTGTTGTTTGTGACAATCTTTCCCCAAACTTGGATGTTTTTGTGATATAATAGCGATCTCTCCAATACCTTGCTGAATGTTTGTGTCATTGTGTGAAACCCCAGTTTCTATTTAAGGAACGTTCCGAGTTTAAATTGTTCTGTTACTCGCCTTTCACCTAATCTAACATTCGAAGTTTTAGCAATTTTTATTTATATTTTTATTGAACGGAAAATTCCAATTTAGAACATGTATTTTCCCCCCCTTGTGTCTCAAACAAGATAAACACAGGATTGAACTTGTTTATTATCTTAGTATAAAGTCAAGCTCAACCCTTCCAAGGGAATACTTGGCTATGAATATTTGAGCTCTATGGTGGATGGTGAAAGTATCAAAAGGGACGGTGGATGGTAAAAAGTTATTATTTTGGAGTAATTTTACTTTAGCTCAAGGTTTCTAACTCAAAGCTCTATGGTGTTAGCCTTTAAGTGGAAGAGTCAGTAGTACTAGCTTCGACAACCTACTCTTGAAATATATTTCAGTTAGGATGGTTAAATTAGAAAAGAATTATTCTTGTTTTTCCCACCAGTTTTTGATCATGCTAAATATGAATTGTGTCACCTTGAGTTATAATATGATTGTGCATAACTGCATGAAATAATCCAGGGGATTGTTTTTTAGAGGAAGGAAAGAAATCACTACTTGGAATGGAGTTCCCCTTACAATTGGGGATCTGGATGTTACCCAAATTAAAATATTGTCTATCTAGATCATATTTCCATGTTTAACGAGTGAATACAACAAAAACATTGTCTTGTGCGTGTTCATTTTTTGGACTCTCCTAATAGTTTTAATCTGACTTTTGTAGGATATGCAGTATGATTCTCTTGAATCTATGTATCACATGAAAAATTTTGTATCAAGGTGAGCCTTAATAATATTATTTATTTGATGATTCTAATAAGCTAATCATTTTAATTAACTATAGTTTTTAAAATTAATCGCTGGTTTTCAGGAGGGAATCCCCTTGGAAGGTGGACGGTGATTCAACTGTTTCCTCTAAGCTTAAATTACTGGAGCAAGAGTTGAGTAATTTGTCCAAGGTATCATCATTGATGAGGAAGCAAGCAAAGAGATACCAATCTCTTACTGGGAAAATCGACGATCTATGCAGGAGAATGGTAAGTCTTTATCTTTATTGGGTATAAAACTTTACTTATGCCTGATTTCTAGTCCAGTATAACTGTGTTAAATCTATATAAACTAATAGTTATCTCATGTTGTCACCGTGTTTTTCACAGTGCAAAAATTTTATGGTTTCCTCAAGATTTTTGATGCAGCGATGATTGCTGTGTTCGATTTATTTCTGGAATAAATTGGCCCGTTTTGATTCTTTACTTGAGCAAGATCAAGTCTCTATATTGCTTTTCTTTCTCATTCAAAAAAAACTAGGGGGCATATGTTTCCTTTGAAAGTCATAATGACCATATATTATTTTGCTATTGTAGACTTAGACTTACCTAAGTAAATTTTGTCTTGGAGCTTATTTCACCCTTTTTCATTGAGGAAAAAATGTCAGAATTATTGAAGTTCCTGTATACAAGTATTGACAATCCCATGGAACACAAAGATGTCAACTGTAGATCTTTTTATATTAAACAAAAGAATATTTGTTCAGTTTGAGAACACATTTGATTTTCTTTGCAAACCAACAACTAGTGAAAAATATTGATTGTAATTATGAAGATACAACATCCACACATCGAAATCAAGTTGAAGCACCCAGAAAATTGCTTGGTGATGAAAGGAGGTGGCGTCGAATTAATGAAATTTGCGAATACTATTTTAGCTACGGTTTCACTTGCATATTATTTTAATTTTCATTTGATAGCAACTTGCACTTTGGTTTGGCGCTGGAACATCTAAGCTTTAATCTGATCTTCAACAGAATGTTTAGGTTCTAACCTATTGGCTTTCCGGGTTTTATGTTTAGTTCTAACCACCGTCCCCATGGTTAGTGGAAATGATAATACTTCTTTCATTTTAGATTTAGAACCATTGTGACTGACTTATCATCTTCTTTTTTATGCCAACATCATAGCAAGCCAGTGACCCTTGTGAGCCAACCCTGAGTCCAGAGTTCCGGACACAGCAGCAGACAGAGTTCCTGCTCGAAGCTGTCCGCCTCCAACATCGATCAACTGAAACACGACAAAAACTGAGCTCCCTGCAAGTAGAGACAACAAAGAGCTTCGCAGGAGACGAGCTCACAGGACAGTCAAAACTAAGCACAAGAAGGTCCTTGGATACAATTGGAAACAACTTCAAGGAGATACAAAGGAATCTGGAGATCTGGTTAGCAAGAATCATCGGTGATGTTGAGGGTATTTTAGCGAGGGATGGCTCATCACGTGTAAGGGATTATTGCATATCTCAGTACCCCTTGGTTCGATGATGTCTCAAAATCACGTACGAGATTTTTCGGCATCTTCAGTATAATTTATATTGTTTTATTATAGCTAAACTATCGATGATGAAGATGACACGTAAATATACAGCACTCTTGACTTAGTATAGATTTAAAACATAACTGATGACTTCGCTTTAAGGTTTTTGTTTGCATTACCATGCTTATAATTACTGCAGCTTATCGAGCAATTTGCTTTCGTTTTAAATATCCAAAGGTTTTAATTGAGCATATACATACATACACATGGTTTATTGCTAACTTAACCTTGTTACTGAAAATCGAGAATGGGAGTGGAATTTCACTTAAAGGTAACAACATGATATCGTTAAATCAACTCAGTTCCAACTTCCAAATCTATTCCTTTATAATAATGGAAGGATCCAAGATTCACTATTCATACTACAGTAAAAAAAATCTGTAGCATTGTTGTTGTAGCATAAATGTAACATTTTTGTTGTAGCACAGAAACGAGGATCTGAGATTTATGTTACAGTAAAATATTGTAACGTTATTACTAAGTGTTATTACTGAAGCTTAAGCGGGATACTGTAGCTCTTTTAAAAACATTCCTGTAGCGCTTACAAAAACTTTACTGTAGAAAAAAATAAAAAAATGGAGGCCGTACTTTGCATGGGTGCAGACTAGTATACTAATGTAATCCAGAATTGCTAGAAGATGCAATTGGCTAGAAATTACATGCCAAATTCACATTGAGACATTGAAGCCCAATAAAGCAAAGCTTATAGAATCCAAGTTCCAAGAGTGGGTTGTAGGTCGTGGCTCTCGATTCAGCTTATTATGCTATATTGACAGCGCATATGCAAATTCTTTTCATCGCCTTATCAGCCACACTTAAAATTCTGCTTATGTTGACAATATTCAATCAGTCTCAATTCTCCAAATTACCCCATTTGTGCACTGTTACTACATCACAGGGGCTTATGAGTCGATCAATAGACGAGCTCTGAATTTTAACAACCAACCAGCATTAACAAGGGCTCTCAGTTCATTGACACATAGAACATAAGAATTACTAATGTTCAAGTAGGAATATTTTTCGTTGAAAGCATAAGTAAATCTAGATAAGCCTACATTCATACTGCAAAGAGGTAAATAATAATACTTTCACACAGCAACCGAGCAAGCAACAAACAAACTACGCAGTTCAATTTGCAGCGGCAGCTTCTTCCAGCAACTGCTTCACCTTGGTGATGTAGTCGCTCATGGCTTCATCCTGGGATTTTCCTGTTGGCAAGGGAAATTCACATAAAAAAATAAAATTTATGGAAGTCTATGGTTCTAAAAACAAATTATAGGGCGAGTTAAGAACCTTCAACAGCCTTCCATGCATCCCACTTGGCCCTGTCTCTCATGTTGAACATACCCGGGCGAGCTGCAGAGATCAAACACCATCTATTTCAGGAAGGTAAAATCTTGAAGGCTGACCAATATATAAACTGAGAAAAGAGTAAATTATATTAACCCACTTACAATTTGCCAAAAACAACAACAACAGTATGCATGCTTAAGACCCATTTCACCCTAGGAACAGCAATTTCACTAGCATATAACGTAACACAAGAATATTACCCAAACTTTATCCTCTCTCTCTCTCTCTCTCTCTCTCTCATAACTTAATGTGATTGTAACACTGTAGGGTATTTTAATTGAAATAAGTGTATCACTCCATCAACTAAGAAAAAAAAAAAAAAAAAAAAAAATTAACTACAATGTTGGGTGAGGCATCTGCTCACCAAACATCAATATTGCCTTTCCTACAAGTTAATATTCTGTTACCAATTTTTCAAAATAGCAAGGAGATGTTTGGTTCTCAGTTATAACATCAATTAGCAAGGATTGTTTGTTTTTATAAACCTCGTGTTCTTGGAGGATTCTATACAAAGATTCATAATCTTGGGGGTTGTATCAGAAAGAAGACTTCAGGAGGTGTGTAACTAAATGCCCTTGATTAAGTCGGTCAATGCACCACATAATAAAAATCCTGTTTTCTATGAACCAATTTGATTACTCGTCAACTTAGGATTTGACCCATAGCGAATCCAAACCAGGTCTGATAGCAGTTCAAACGTACATTGAGCACATTTGAGATTTACAAGTCTTAGATTGCATTTCATGCCTAGTTGTGGTTTTGCTCCATAAGTAGAACGTTTAGTTGTTATTTCTCATTACTATAGAGGTAAAACTCTTAGATTTTGAGATTGCTCTGTCGCATGACATTTACTGGTAAAACTCTCCTTTCATTTTATTTTTCAATGAGCGTGTCTTTTCTCTTTTAGGTTTAAGGTTTCCAGAGCTGACCAACCTGAGTACAAACCAGCCTAACCCTAAATTAACCCTTCAGAGGCTGGGTGTTATTCAGGTTGTTATTACCTTGCATGTGACCTTGGGTTGGGTCAGGCTTGATCCTCAATCCAAAAGCAAGTCACCAAATTGCACCCCTTATTAAGGAGAGGAAGGAAAAATATACTCGCTTATGGAGCTCTTGCTAAAGATAGATAAGTCTCTGACTCTCTGGTTACAAAAAGGATAGGCACGTGACACATTTGTCATGCACTCGAAATCAAACAAATGCAATGTTGTATATAATGCTAATGTTAGGGAACACAAGAAATACATGAAATGAACTTCCAAACACACAATAAAAGTTGTAATAATCGATTACCCATGTTTGACAGAGGTCAATAAGTAGTAAAAATAGCCTGTAGTAATCAAATGATAATGATAAGGAAGCAATGTTTCAAATGCTGTCGCAATTTCAAGTTACCAAAGAAATGTCATATCATTAAGCAGTATTTGTCTCTTAAATCACCATCATATAACGTGTTTGACCGACTGACTTGTGTACGTTAATAACTACTGCAAGAATAATGAGTTGATTCAGTACGTACAAGTGTTGACAGGTCCAACAGTTGCCTGCTTGTAAAGCCCATACAGGATCAGCTTGTTCTCATTTGTAGTATTCTCTGGTAGTGTTTTAGCTTTCTCAGCATGCTCTTCAAATTCTTCCTGCATTTTAAGACCATAAAAGGTCATTTGGCATCGATATGCTTACCAAGTAAGAAAAATATAGATATTATTCATTTGTGACAAAGAACTAACAGAAACAACCATAAGAATCGGAAGGCTAGAGGGGGAAACTAGTAGTGAAAAGTGCAAGTCATAGATGCATATTCATAAAAAAATTACAAGTTTTCTAGCTTATATCTTTTCTTGTGGAAGGTGAACAAAATTTAATCTTGCTAGTTAAAAACAAATGTAAATCCAGTCATATGCTCTAAATTTGAAAAAAAAATCTTAAATGGGTCGCGCAATGTGTCTGAAATCAACATCAAGGGGTGGATTGTAGTTTGGAAGAGGTTCGAGCCATTATGTGACCCAAGCCAGTGTTTACATGCACACAGAAGACATGCTGTTAGAATTTTGACTCTTCATATTCTATTATGTGACATTAATAGCAATTTGAATTTAATCTTGGAATTAACTACTTTGTTGGTTTTAAGACATAACTACATTGGATAGTTATGAACTCCTTGGTGGTGGGAGTTCTATAAAGAGAGTCACTTGTCCACACACAATGTATGATCAATAATCAAGTCATGTGATGTAATAATCCATCATCTCGGTTTTGTGTTGTGGAGTGGACAAGGAAGAACAATTATCAATAATTTCGGTGTTCATTACATTGAACAATGGAAGAAGGTATGTACCATTTTATTCAATCTTGTTTTAATATGTAAACGAGTGTTAAATTCTGTTAATCATGCTATAAGAAATCTTACAATTAGTATCAAAGCCATTATATGATGTAATTTTGTTGTTTTCTCGAATTTATTTCGGTATAATTTATTTTCTGTACTATTGAAAGTTTTATAGAACTTGGAATCATTTTTTACCAACTAATAAAGTAGCCTAGTGGTAAGAGTTTTGAGTGAGGAATCCAAGGTCATAGGTTCAAATCCCCCCATATTAATATATCTTGACAAGGGCCTTGTGGGTCTTGGGTTTGATTAAAAAATAAAATCTAAAATTTTTTCCTCTTCTTACATTGCAGTTCCGAATTTTCATTTTGAACAAATTGCCTACTTTTCAGTTTAATTTCCTTTTGGATTGAATGATTTTATAATGACTGTTTTAATGAGATTAAGTTTTAAACTTGTAGAATGGCCACAACATCTATAAGTCATGAAAAAAAAGTTATATCTCATTATTAAAGATGTTAATTCAATCCAGAGTTGCAATCATATTTACATATATCTCTGCTATACCCCACAGGGAAGTAATGATCTATGTAATTTATTGGGTTAATAAAGCATATTTGTTTATAGTGGGGAAATTTCTTATACCCACAGGTATGAAAATTTTCCTTCATTATAATCAAACTTTTGTTGTTCTTAATTAAAGACTAAGTAATGAATCTATGTATTTTAGGACCTCTATCCACAGGAAGGTTAAAAGTCATTACATTGAATAAAGTTTAATTTTCGTAGCATTAATTTTGTTTCATTTCAATGCAGTTGTTCCTGTTTCTGTAGTTAATGAAGTCCCGATTCTAAGCGGCGATAATTTTTCAGATTGGAAGGACAAGATCCTTCTAAAATTAGGCTGCTTAAATCTAGACTTGGCTCTCCATAAAGAATGTCCTACTCTCATGGAGACTACGGAACCAAGTAAGAAGACTGAATTTAAAAAATGGGAGCATGCAAATCGTCTCAGTATGATGCTTATGAAATCACATATTAATCGAAGTATTCGGGGATCAATTCCTGAATTTGATAAGGTAAAATATTTCATGAAAGCATTCGAGGAGCAATTTATTGTTTGTGACAAGGCTATGGCTACAACCTTGATTCAGAAACTCACAAATGTGAAATATGATGCTCGTAAGGGTGTGCGCATGCATATTATGCAATTAAGGGATATTGCTTCCCAACTTAAACCTCTAAAAATTGATATATCTGAATCATTTCTAGTGCATTTCATACTTTCTTCACTTCCAGTGGAGTATGGACCTTTCAAGATCTCTTACAATACACACATAGAGAATTGGTCTGTAAATGAACTCCTAACCATGTGTGTTCAAGAAGAAGAAATACTTAAACATGAGGTTATAGAAAGTGTTAATATAACAACTCATAATAAGAAAATTGCATTTAAAGGTAAAAATGGATCTGATCTGTTAAAGGTTAAAGGAAAACAACCTATGAAGTTCAAGGGTAAAGGTCCAAACTGCTTCTTCTGTAAAAAGAGAGGACACGTTAAGAAAGATTGCCTGAAATACAAGAAATGGCTCGTGAAGAAAGGTAATATCATATCATATGTTTGTTTCAAATCTAATTTTAGTCATGTTCCTAATAATACTTGATGGATTGATTCTGACTCGTCAATTCATGTTGCCAATACTATAAAGGGGTTTCTAACCCAACGGACGCCGCCGACGACAAGTGAGTCGGGCATCTATTCAGGAAATGGGATGCGGTCACTTGTAAAAACAGTGAGAAACTATCAACTTATTTTAAAATCTTGTTATGTAATTGATTTGAAAAATGTGTTCTATGTACCTTCATTTTCAAGAAATTTGATTTCTGTATCAAGATTTGAAAAATGTGTTCTATGTACCTTCATTTTCAAGAAATTTGATTTCTGTATCAAAACTAAGTATTTGTGGTTATGAAATTAATTTCAATGTTAATGGATTTCTTTTATACAAATATTAAGTTTGTATTGGTTCTGGAATATTATCTGAAAATCTTTACAACCTTGATTTAGACACAAATTTTAAAAATAATTTGCTTTCTTTAAATGTCGATAATGTTGGCAATAAAAAAATATCATTAAGGAAAGCTCCACTATATTATGGCATAAGAGATTAGGCCATATTTCAGTTTATAGAATTAAAAGGTTAATAAATGAAGAGATTCTTCCTAATCTAAACTTTACTAACTTTAATACATGTATGGATTGCATAAAGGGAAAGAAACTAACATTACTAAAAAGGGTTTTAAAAGGAGTACAAAATGTCTAAAAATTATTCATACAGACATATAGGGACCATCTCCAATTCCTTGTCTAAATAGTTAAAAATACTTCATCTGTAAAAAACCCTATGAAGTTCAATCTATGAAGTTCAAGGGTAAGGGTCCAAATTGCTTCTTCTGTAAAAAGAGAGGACACGTTAAGAAAGATTGCCTGAAATACAAGAAATGGCTCGTGAAGAAAGGTAATATCATATCATATGTTTGTTTCAAATCTAATTTTAGTCATGTTCCTAATAATACTTGATGGATTGATTCTGACTCGTCAATTCATGTTGCCAATACTATAAAGGGGTTTCTAACCCAACGGACGCCGCCGACGACAAGTGAGTCGGGCATCTATTCAGGAAATGGGATGCGGTCACTTGTAAAAACAGTGAGAAACTATCAACTTATTTTAAAATCTTGTTATGTAATTGATTTGAAAAATGTGTTCTATGTACCTTCATTTTCAAGAAATTTGATTTCTGTATCAAAACTAAGTATTTGTGGTTATGAAATTAATTTCAATGTTAATGGATTTCTTTTATATAAAGATGAAGTTTGTATTGGTTTTGGAATATTATCGAAAATCTTTACAAGCTTGATTTAGACACAAACATTGAAAATAATTTGCTTTCTTTAAACATCGATAATGTTGGCAATAAAAGAAGTATCATTAAGAATAACTCCTCTATATTATGGCATAAAAGATTAGGCCATATTTCAGTTAATAGAATTAAAAGGTTAGTAAATGAAGGGATTCTTCCTAATCTAAATTTTACTAACTTTAGTATATGTGTGGATTGCATAAAGGAAAAGCAAACTAACATTACTAAAAAAAGATTCTAAAAGGAGTACAGAATGTCTTGAAATTATTCATACAGACATATGGGGACCATCTCCAATTCCTTGTTTAAATGGTCAAAAATACTTCATCTCATTTATTGATGACAAATGACCATTCTAGGTATATGTATTTATACCTCCTAAATGAAAAGTCTGAAGCATTAGATGCTTTTAAGACTTATAATGTCAAGGTAGAAAATCAATTAGACAAAAAAAATAAAGATTATGAGATTAGACAGGGATGGAGAGTACTATGAGAGATACACCGAAAAAGGACAAATGCCAGGTCTGTTTGCCCAATTCCTTAAAAGTGAAGGTATTATAGCACAATACACAATATCAAGTACACCACAACAATATGGTGTGGCTAAAAGAAGGAATAGGACACTAATGGATATGGTTAGAAGCATGATTAGTAATGCTGATCTATCGTCATCCTTTTGGAGTGAAGCACTAAACACTGCTATGTATATACTTAATCGTGTTCCATCAAAAACAGTTCCAAAAACTCTTTTTGAGATTTGGAAAGGATGGAAACCTAGTCTGAATCATATGCACGTATGGGGTTGCCGAGTTGAAGTGAGAATATATAATCCTCACATTAAGAAACTTGATTCAAGAACCGAAAATGGCTTCTTATTAGGTATGCTTTAAATTCAAAAGGATATAGATTCTATTGTCCATTGCACACACCAAAGATTGTAGAAACTAGGAATGCTAAATTTCTTGAGGATTCAACTTTTGATGATTTTCCTCGTAAGATGAGAATTGAGGAAATAAAGAATCCTAGTTCATCATCTACAATTAAAGAATTAATTGTTCGAAGGAGAATTGTGTCTATTATAGAAGACACACCAAATCAAGTTAATGAACAATTAATTCAAAATGAAATAGATGACTAACTTCCTCATGTTGAGGAAATTCAAGAGGTACCGGTTATCCAAAATCAAGAAAATTTGGATAATCAAGTTGAACTAAGAAGATCCTCTAGAATCAGAAAACCAGTAATACCTAGTGACTACGTCGTATATCTTCAAGAGTCTAACACTGATGTAGGACCTAAAAATGATCCTACTTCGTTTTCACAAGCCATTATTGGAGAAAATTCTAATTTATGGCTTGATGCCGTGAAAGAAGAATTAGAGTCTATAGAAAAAAATAAAGAATAGAATCTCGTTGAATTACCGAAAGGAGTCTTAGTTGTTGGTTGTAAATGGATATTCAAAACAAAACAAGACTCATCTGGTAAAGTTGAACGATATAAAACAGACTTGTAGCCAAAGGGTTTACCCAAAAGGAAGACATTGATTTTCATGAAACATTTTCTCCTGCTTCTTCTAAAGATTCTTTAAGAATAGTTATGGCATTAGTAGCTCATATGGATTTAGAGTTACATCAAATGGATGTGAAGACGGTTTTTCTAAATGATGATCTTGAGGAAGAAGTATACATGAGGCAACCCGAAGGATTTACTTTTGGGCAAAAAGATTAATTATATTACAAGCTAAATAAATCATTATATGGGCTTAAACAAGCTTCCCGTCAATGGCATATAAAATTCCACAATACAATTCTTAAATTTGGTTTTATAGAGAATATTGTGGATGAATGCATATATATTAAAATCAGTGGGAGTAAATTTGTTATATTAGTCTATATGTTGATGATATATTACTTGCATGTAATGATAATGACCTATTACATAAGACTAAAAGTTACTTGTCACAAAACTTTAAAATGAAGGATTTAGGTGAAGTATCTTATGTTATTGGAATAGAGATTCACAGAGATAGATCCCTAAAAAAATTGGGATTATCTCAAAAGGCTTGCATTAATAAAGTTTTGGATAGATTTGGAATGCAGAATTGTGCACCTAAAGATGCACATATTTCCAAAGGTGACAAGTTTGGTTTGGACCAATGTCCAAGCAATGTTTCAGAACTAAAAGAAATAGAGAATATTTCATATGCTTCTGCAGTTGGAAGTCTTATGTATGCGGTTGTTTGCACAAGACAAGATCTTGCCTTTTCAGTAGGAATGTTGGGAATGTATCAAAATAATCCTGAAATGGCTCATTGGAAAGCTGCCAAGAGGATAATGAGATACCTAAAAGGGACTAAAGATTATAGGCTTACATATAGTTATTCAGATCATTTGGAAATGATTGTATATACGGATTCTGATTGGGCTGGTTGCGAGGATACAAGAAATCTACTTCAGGATATATTTTTCTACTTGCTGGAGGTGCAATATCCTAGAAAAGTATGAAACAAAGTTTAGTTGCATCCTCGACTATGAAAACAGAATTTATAGGTTGCTACGAGACATCATCACAGGCATCATGGTTGAGGGATTTTGTTGCGGAGCTTAAAGTGGTTGATCTCATTTCAAAACCATTGCTTATTTATTGTGACAACACCTCTACGGTTGTGTTTGCTAACAACAATAAAAGCGGAAGTCGAACGAAATACATTTACATCAAATTCCTTAAGGCTAAAGGTCGAGTTCGTGATCACATTGTTAAGTTTGAACACACAAGAACAGAGTTCATGATTGTTGACCCATTGACTAAAGCTATACCAGTCATTCCATTTAAGAGTCATGTAAGCAACATGGGGCTCGTTCACGTTTAAGTGTTTGTTATGTTTTATGTCTAGACTTATTTGATGTTGTTAGTGATTTATATTCATGACAAATAAAGTGTACACATTATGTTTAAGTCATGTATTTATTGCTATTTAAGCGTATAAATATATATATATATATATATATGAAGCTTCTCAAGAATTAATTATTTTGCTTATTCAATTGCAACAAATTATTTGGCCATAAAGTAGCAATACTGTTATGTCATTGGAACATTAATAGAATATTTGAGTCTAGTGGGAGAATGTTAGAATTTTGACTCTTCATATTCTATTATGTGACATTAATAGCAATTTGAATTTAATCTTGGAATTAACTACTTTGGTGGTTTTAAGACATAACTACATTGGGTAGTTATGAACTCCTTGATGGTGGAAGTTCTATAAAGAGAGTCATTTTTCCACACACAATGTATGATCAATAATCAAGTACTGTGATGTAATAATCCATCATTTCGGTTGTGTTGTGGAGTGGACAAGGGAGAACAATTATTGGTAATTTCGGTGTTCATTACAATCAACAATGGAAGAAGGTATGTACCATTTTATTCAATCTCGTTTTAGTATGTAAATGAGTGTTAAATTCCGTTAATCATGCTATAAGAAATCTTACACAGGCATCAAGTATCCAGATCCTGAAGTGTCCAACGGAGGAATCCTCCAACCAAAAATTGATATCAGGCGAGATTTTAACAAATGAAGCAGTCACAAAATAATGAACATAATCATGTACTTGATGAGTAACTTACTCAAGATATTGGGTATGATTTCAACAGATTAACAGACAATATTTCATCATCTAAAAAATTGAGAATTGTGATGCTCAAATTCTGTATAGCTTTGTCAGTTGTCACTCAAGTATAATGTAGCGTCCTAGAGTCCAATAAATTTTTTTTTTTGAAGCCTAATTCTTCATCCTAATTATTCGGATCAGAAACCAGGGAAGCAACCATGCATCTAATTGACTAAAAGAGTCACAGTCAAAAGGAATTACAAGTTATTTTTTCAGAAATTTATTAAACATCACATTATCCATCAAAATTTTCAAATTTAACAAGAGATCAACACAAAATCTACAGATCTGAACACTAGAAAGTCATTAATAACAAAACTATCCATCAAAATGGTCCGGATCTATATAAACTAGAAAGATCGCAAGAAAATAATCACAAAGAATCGATAGAGTTCACCAGATCGATCCGGATAATTGGAGAAAAAGAACATTAATTTCCCAAAAAAACTGGACTTAAAATGCCAGTAAGCCGCCAATAAATCTTAGGATGCTAATTTTGTACATAAAAATCGAAAGTGGAGCTAGAGTTCGATACCTTCAATCCCATGGTTCGGATCTTTCTGCTCAATTCGTCTCCAAAGATTCTCCAACCGCAGCGGCAATACTAGGCGTATACTTATAGCATGATTGCTAAAAGATGAGCCTAGTATTTCTTAAAAATTACACAATTACCAAAGTACAGTGTGTGGGGTTTTTTCCCTAATGGTTTTTTTGCTACAGTAATCCCGGGTTTAGCCGTTATATTCCTTTTTTTGTTACAGTGTCTTGCTTCTGCTACAGTATTCTCATGTGTAACAATAATATTTTTTCAAAAGACTACGCAGTCCAGTTTTATGTTGCTACAGTAATAATGTCGGCGTTTATTATAGCATGAATAGTGAATTTTGGGTTCTCCCATTTGTATAGAGGAGTAGATATAAAAATCACTTTTGAAATAAGATTATTCTATCCAAGCTAACTTTGATTATCAATTTATATATAAACCATCTTTCAATGATTACTTATTGTAATCAACTAATTTGACTCACTTTTAAGTCAATATTTTTCTATTTCGCTATTATAATCAGTTGTCAAATAATAAATACAGTAGAGAGATGATGCTTAAGCAGCTTAATGAAGGTTAAGTGTGATCAATTTCTAAAAATAAACTGAGAAATGGATCTACATGGCTAATTACAAAAAACTCTTTAAAAATAAAGGGAAAAATGCTTCCAGCCCCCAAAAGCCAAGGAAACGTGCTTCCCACCCCCAAGATTTTGTCAATGAGTGTTTTACCCCCAAAAATAAAAATTCTGTTCTCTGAGCCCCCAAAACACAAAAACCCATGAGATTAAAATATGTGAAGACCATAATACTCTTCTCTCTCTCTTTTTTTTTTATTAAAATATGATGAGGATTATTTTATTATTTTCGTTTTCTCTCCCTCTTTATCATGATGTACTGAGATGATAGTTGAAATGATTGATGAGGATTATTTTATTATTTTTGTTTTTTATTATTTTCGTTGTTTGTATCGAGAGATTGTTAAAGTTACGGGTTAATTGTTAAGGTTACGAATTAATTGTTAATGTTACGGGTCAATTGTTAATGTTATGAATCCTCTCTCTCTCTCTCTCTCTCTCTCTCATGATGTTACTTTGATGATATTGAAATGATTGAAGAGTATTATTATTTTATTATTTTTGTTTTTTATTTTTTTCGTATTTTTAGAATATTTATTGTTAAGGATAATGGTTGGTTGTAAAGGTTATGCATTATTTGTTAAGGTTACGGGTTGGTTGTTAAGGTTACGGATTTGTTGTTAAGGTTATGGGTTTGTTGTGTAGGTTACGGATTTGTTGTTAAAGTTAAGGGTTTAATTGTTAAGGTTACGGGTTTAATTATTAAGGTTACGTGTTTAATTGTTAAGGTTACAGGTTTAATTGTTACGGTTACGGTTTAATTGTTAAGGTTACAGTTTAATTTTTAAGGTTACAGGTTTAATTGTTAAAGTTACTGGTTTAATTGTTAAGGTTACGGGTTTAATTGTTAAGGTTACGGGTTTAATTGTTAAGGTTACGGGTTTAATTATTAATGTTACGGTTTAATTGTTAAGGTTACGAGTTTAATTGTTAAGGTTACGATTTAATTATTAAAGTTACCGGTTTAATTGTTAAGGTTACGAGAGAGAGAGAGAAGGGATTCATAACCCTAACAATTGACCCCGTAACCTTAACAATTAAACCCGTAACCTTAACAATTAAACCCGTAATCTTAACAATTGATCCGTAATCTTAACAATTAAACTCGTAACCTTAACAATTGACCCGTAACATTAACAATTAAACCCGTAACCTTAATAATTAAATTTATAACCTTAACAATTGACCCGTAATCTTAACAATTAAACCGTAACCTTAACATAATAAAACCCGTAACCTTAACAATTAAACCATAACCTTAACAAATAAACACGTAACATTAACAATTAAACCCGTAACCTTAACAATTAAACTCGCAATCTTAACAATTAAACCGTAACCTTAACAATTAACCCGTAATCTTAACAATTAAACATGTAACCTTAACAATTAAGCCCGTAACCGTAACAATTAAACCCGTAACCGTAATAATTAAACCCGTAACCTTAACAATTAAACCCATAACCTTAACAATTAAACTGTAACCTTAACAATTAAACCGTAACCGTAACCGTAACAATTAAACTCGTAACCTTAACAATTAAACACGTAACCTTAACAATTAAACCCGTAACCTTAACAATTAAACCCGTAATCTTAACAACAAATCCGTAACCTACACAACAAACTCATAACATTAACAACAAACCCGTAACCTTAACAACCAACCCGTAACCTTAACAATCAATGCATAACCTTTACAACCAACCATTATCTTTAACAACGAATATTCTAAAAATACAAAAAGAATAAAAAACGAAAATAATAAAATAATAATCATCTTTAATCATTTCAATATCATCAAAGTAACATCATGATAGAGAGAGAGAGGGAGGATTCATAACCTTAACAATTGACCCGTAACATTAACAATTAACTCGTAACCTTAACAATTAACCCGTAACTTTAACAATCTCACAATACAAACAACGAAAATAATAAAAAATGAAAATAATAAAATAATCATCATCAATCATTTCAACTATCATCTTAGTACATCATGATAAAGAGAGAGAGAAAACAAAAATAATAAAATAATCCTCATTATATTTTAATAAAAAAAGAAATAGAAAGAGAAGGGTATTATGGTCTTCATATATTTTAATCTTTTGGGTTTTGTGTTTTGGGGACTTAGAGAACAGAATCTTTATTTTTTAGGGGTAAAACACCCATTGACAAAGTCTTGGGGGTGGAAAGCACGTTTCCTTGGCTTTTGGGGGCTGGAAGCATTTTTCCCTATAATTTATGTATAAATTGAAAAATAAAAAGTGGTTTATATAAACTGATCATTATTTATAGATAGTTTCTATGATAAAAACCCTGAAATATCAAGAGCGTTTGTTTCCGTAATTATTTTGTGTGTCAGTTATTAAAAAAATGCAAACCTTATAGCAACAATTTATATATTGAAAAAAAAAAAGAAAAAAATTGCAAAAAAATATCTAGAATTTATACATGCGAAAATTAAATATTTTTTTATAATATGTATCATAAAGTCTTATAAACCGATTATGGTCAACAAACTACAAGATCCATCTTACATTGGTAATACAAATTCATAACAAAGTAAGGTTTGCATTTATACAAAGTTCTCAGTTAAGAATCCTTAAAATGTCCTTAAAATTGGTATTTCAAACATAGTTGTTATGTATATTTTCTTTTTCTGGTAGAAGAATATATGCAGTGGCAAAGCTACATAGTGTGCCGCAGGATCATAAGTCATCACTAGATTGCCTACTTTGTAGGTTCTTCTTTTACTTAGCTTTGTTTGTTTTACTACTCAGAACACAACTACGATTAAGCTAGGACACCACTAAGAATGATATGACTAAAAATTTATCGAAATAGATTCTAAATACAATCATGATAAATTACTCGGAAACTCCATTTTGGTAAAACCAATCAAATTGAATGCAAGTGCTAGATTAACCTTCTGAATATATACGCACTCCTTCCCTGTTGTTACCAATTCAAGTGCTAGATTAACCTTCTGAATGCTGGATCGCTATAGCACAGAATTGGTACATAAAAATTGCGGTGATGGAAATATGCTAACAAGAGAATCAAAATATAAAAGAATATAACATAACAAATAAGTCCTTTAACTGCATATTTTATGCATAGATCTTGTTTCGGATGCTATATCTCTAAAAGGAGTTATTCACGGGTTGAACGAATAAAACGCCATGTAATTACAAACTAAAAAGGAGATAAATCAATGGCTAGAAATCATCGGAGGTCCACCTTTCATTAGAACAAGTAGTCGATAGAATAAAGACTACTAAATTTTTTGTATGGGCCTACAAAAGCAACAGTGGAGAAATTCCGTCTCTCCAAAATAAATAAATAAATAAAGCTCACAAGGAACTTTTCCTTGACCATCTTACGAGCATATTAGCAGGAGGCTGGGCGTGTTAGACAACTCCAAAGAATTAGTTTTCTGTGGATATAAGTGTTATCCAAAACGTTATATTTAGTTCGGCAAAACTTGAGCAAAGTTTGAACTAGTGTTTTTTTAGTTCAAATTTTAAAACTTAGACTAGTATTTTTTTGTGTAAAACCAACCCCTACATGGACCAACTCTAGCCTAGTTAAACAAAAACTAGTTTAAACTCAGCCCTATTTTGGATTGCCAAACATGCCCTTAAGACTTACCTTACTAGATGGTAGGTACTCATATGTTAACGATTAGAAAAATTCCCCGATGACCTAAAATATGGGACCAACATGAGGGACAAGTGAGGTGTCCCCCTTCTATTGCATAATGAGCTGACCATCTTCTATTGCATAATGAGCTGACCATCATTAATGATGGTTAGCTCATTATGTAATAGGAGGGGGACACCTCACCTTTCTCTCATGTTGGTTCCATATTTTAGGTCCCTATAGCAAATCTCTGACGATTAACTCAGTTAATAAAAGGGTTAATTGTGGAAGACCTTTTATGGTATCATTGGTCTAAACAACTGTCCATTTAATTCCTTTTTTTTTTGGCAGATACACAATACCTGACAGTGAAACTTCTTCAACTCTTTTATTTGGGTGTTGCTACAGGGACCCCAAAATAGAAGATCCCTGAGGGGACAGGTGAGGTGTCAGTCCCTGGGGGCTTGATACACTGTTCATGAACAATGCATCAAGCTCCCAGGGGCTGACACCTCACCTGTCCCCTCAGGGGTCACCTATTTTGGGGTCCCTGAGGAGTTTTCCCTTTTATTTACACTTAAAAAAAAAGAGAAATAGTTTTTTGACAAATAGTCTACAAAATTAACTCAGGGATTCTATGTGTGAAAAGATAAAACTAGAAGAGTGGTAAATTTAAAACAACAATATTGCAGGAGCTCAATCTGCAATTAACCTACGAGAAAAGAATAGTAGACTTGGCTAGAAAATAAAAATCACTCTGATGCTTATTACTCCGCTACATTCCTCGATTAATGCACAAAGTGTGTCCCCAATCC